GCACATACATACGTAATTGTAATTAATATTAATATTAATATTTAACAGAGCAGAAGTAATATAGTATTTAAAATAAGAAATTTTATCTCATTTATTTCATTTTTATCTTATGTAATTTTTCAATTTAATTTTGAATTTGTTCAGGTCCGTCATTGTCAGTTCGCCCGGTAGTTTATTGTAAAGGCTGCTTGCACTTCTCAGAGGACTTGCAAGTCCTTTACTAGTTTTTGCATGTTTCATGTGAAAGTTTCGGTTTTGTCTCGTTTATCATATACCAGGATTGAGTTACAAAAAAACAATCATTTTTCTCGCTACTTTTTGAGTTTCTCGAATCATTTAAAAATAGTAACAATTAAAATTTGGAGATAAAGCTAGTATATGCTTGAGAGAAGTCTATAAAAAAGATTCTATGAAAATTTCAAGTAAATCGGTCTTTTTCGTAGATCTCAAGATATCGTGGGCATAATATTGAAGAATACAGTTTAGAGAAAAGCACTTAGTTTAAAGTTTTGCAAACAGAAGAGGATTATCATGGTTAAACAGCTGTATCTACGAAAATAATTTAGATTTAAAAAATCCTTTCGTACACATATTATTAAAATGTGGCGAGCATAGCTCACATGGTAGGGTGCTCGATTCACACTTCAGAGATTTTTGGATCGAATCCTGTCATTGACTTAGAATTTATGCAAAAAAATTGTAGTTAATTTGAAATTAAATGAAAATTGTATTTGTTAAGTAGAAATTGAATAAAAAATAGGAAAAATAGGAATTACAGAATTCGAACAGCTGAATTGTATTAGGAGTAAGAAGAAAAAGTTTCAGAATTTGCTGAGATTAAAAAGAAGAATGAAGAAGAAAAAAAATGGAATGAAAATAGAAGTTGAATAGAATTAGAAATTTGATAGAAAAAAAAGCAAAAATTGAAGAAATTAAAAAGAAGAAGAATATATTCTATATTCTTATAGATTTATATATATAGATTAAATATGATATAAAAATTGGTATAGAGTGTAAATAAATAAAAATGTTGTAGGTGGCTAAATGCTCAGAGTAAGCGAGGCCAAATAGAAATTTAAAAAAAACAACATATTATTAAATAGAAGAACTTTGAAAATATGAAAAAAAGGAAAATCGATTTTTTTTAATATCTACCCTATAATTTACATGGAGTTACACTCCACTTAAGGGAACGGCACAAATTCACAAATAGTATATAAAGTTATTAATTAATCATTTTTTTTAATTTCAATAAGTATTACAACTGTTAAATTATTAACATCTAGTAATATTGTTAAATAATATAAATTTAAATAAATAAAAGTGCAAAGGATAAAATTTACATGAAAATAATATCCGTAATATGATTTGATATAAAATATAAGCAAATACTAATAAAAATAAAATTAATAAATAATATAAATAAAATAATAATTAATTTAATTAATTAATTTCATTAATATAAAAAATTAATAAATAATTAATTTTTTTTATTAATAAGTAATAAATATTTATCATCCACCGTAGTACAGATTGAACATCCTTAAGCCGCTTGATGTATTCATCGTCTATGTGTGAGTTTCGAGAGAAGCGGCGAGCTGAGCTGCGCGCATGGTCGTAAGTAAAGCGTGCGCCCTCCGCCAGCGAATACAGTGTAATATTTCTCAAATTTCTTTGTTAAGGTTTTCGTAAAATGGAATCTCATAAAAACGCAGACTAATACGATATGACATATAATTTCTTAAAATATCGACGTTTTCCAGGCTTCATTCCGAAGGGGTAAAATATCATTTTTTGCACGTAAAATTTGCTATATATTTCAGGATATTAATATATTGCTGCAAAATCAAATAAATGGGATTTCAGATCAGATTTTTTTATATACACATAAAAAATCCTATTTTCATTGCAAATTATATCTCTTTAAAGAAAGAATTAATTTCAATATTAAAATGTTCAAAATTAAACTAGTGGGGCGCATGGCATCGTGCCTTAAGGTACGATGCCATACTTCCCGTACAAAAAAAAAATTTTTTTTTTTAAAGATTAACATTTTTGAAAAAAATTTACTCTGAAAAACTAGATTTTTGAGAAACTATAAATTTTTGACAAATATTTACTTTTTTTGAAAAAAAAAGACTTTTTGAAGAAAAGTGTATTTTGAAATTTTATTGAAAAAAAAGTTCTTTATTTTAAAAGTTGTTTATTTTATTATAATAAAATAATATAAATATTTTGGAAATTCTGAATTTTTTTCAAAGCAATCGTACTGCTTTAACTGCATAGAGACGAAATATCGAACCGCGTAAGCGCCGCACCGCCGACTAACGGATAAGCATTGGTACGGAACCCATAGGAATGTAAACAAAATTTATACTTATTGTTAAAATCTCTATAAAATATCTGATAATTTGATGTGCATATGTCTAATGATCATTTTTGACCGCCAGATGGCATTTTTTTTTACTTTTTTTGCTAAAAATTATTCAAAGTTCAAAGTTAATTTTTTTCTAAAATTTGATCATCTTCATCTTTTTAATATAAGTAAAATGTTTTTTGAATTATTCAAATCGGACGCTCCGTTCTCTTAAAAACTGACCGTTTTTGGCACTTTTTGCGCTATATCTTCGGAACGGCTAGACCTGCCTTCGCCAAAAACTAATCAGCACGTCCCCTTATCAGTACGAATCGAATGTTTTTTTTAATTATTCAAATTGCTTCATCCGTGTTCCCGAAATCGACGACGAAAATTTGTATCCGAACACACATACACACACGCACACACACATACACACACATACATCCATTTTTTCTAAGGTATGCCAAAATATTCAGAAACCTCTGAAACGTAAAGATATATAAAAAAAATTATTTTCGATTTTTTTGCGATTACTATAACTTACCCTACGGGAAGTTAATTATATAAAATCTAATTTAATTTTGAACATTACATATTAATATTTATATTTTTAACTTCCCGTAAGGTAAGTTGTCGACGATTTCGCAAACACGGATCAATCGATTTGAATAATTCAAAAAACATTTGTTTCCTACTGATAAAGAGACGTGCTGATTACTTTTTGGCAAAGGCAGGTCTAGCCGTTTCTGAGATACAGGGCAAAAATGCCAAAAATGGTATTTCAGTTTTTGAGATAACGGAGCGTCCGATTTAAATAATTCAAAAAACATGACAAGATGAAGAATTGATCAAATTTCTGTAAGGTTCAGCGACTACGGAGGTCCAATAAAAAAAGTAAAAAATAATGCCATTTGTTACGCGGCGCTTACGCGCTTTGATATTTCGACTCTAAATCAGCTATTCAGCGCCATTGCTTAAAAATGTTTAAAATTTTCAAAAAAATCAAAATAAAAAAATATTAAAGTATAAAAAAGTTAAATTTATCAAAAAGAAATATTTTTTTCAAAAATTTCAAAATTTCTAAAAAATTATAAGCACGTTTTGAAAAAATTGACGAACACATATTTTACTTTTTCTTTGAAACAACTATAAAATTCATACTGGCATTTTATTAAATTCGGACGAATACCGAATATCTATACATATATTATTCGGCCAAATATCAAATAATTAAATAATATATGTTCTTAAAAGGAGATAATTGGTAATATGAAAACAAAATCGATTCGTTATGTATATATCCATCTTTTAATTTCTTCTTCAATTATAATCATTGCATCTTCTTGTATATTCAGAAATTTAAAAAATTTCTTTATGAATTCTTTTCATAATTAAAATTTAGAAAGAAAAGGTTATGGTACAGAAAGACTTTTTTCTGCATATTTAATAAAGTATTATTTCTATTTTTCGCAGACCGTCGTATAACCTTTCTGTATGTTAAAGCTCAAAATAATTATTTTGAATTATGAATTATAAATATTGAATATCAATTAATTGATTTATCAATACTACATGTGAGATGTAATATATACCCCAAATATAGAAAAATTGTGTATGTGTTTATGTGCCGATTTTTTTCATTTTTCGTCGACGTTTTCTTAAAAAACGGTTGCACGTATTTCAAAATTTTAAATTAAAGAAATTCGATAAGAAGGAGTCTTTCATTATAGGTTTCCGAGATAATCGTCCAAACCGTTTCTATGGCATTAGCTAAAATAATAAAAATTTTACGGCTATGTTTTTGCAAAAAATCATGAATCTATTTCGAAAATTTAAAAGCCGTTCGAAAGGCATTAGATGGGATCGTGCTTATTTATCTATGATGCTGATTACTTTTCGGCAAAGATCGGCTGAGTCATTTTTTTTGCTGTTTTATAATTAATTCAAATATGAACGAACATCCTAAAACATTATAGTCCTACGAAAAGTGGTTGAATAAAAACATTCATCATCGTTTACGCGTCTTGCCTTAAGGAAAAATGTGACTTACAACTAATTATTAATATGAGGCCGATTTATGAATGCTTTTTGTAACGGTTACTTTAAATACACTTTTTTACATCTTTTATTGCAGAAGCTAATAGTAGCTTTTTATGATATTGTTTCTAAAAAAAAACATCTCATTTATAGGCACTGACAAATTAATAAAATTTAAAGAATTATTCTAAGCATTTAGTTTAAAAAATAAATTAGAAACATAAATATATAAAACAACAAGTAACAAAAGGGAGAGAATATATTCACAAATATTTGCGCTTTGCTTTTTTATTTAAAAAATGAGTGTGAGATTGAATTTATTGTGTCTATTATATTCATTTTAACAAACTTCTTGAGAAATCATGCTAATTGTACACTATTATCACTCCAATTTATTGGTAATAATGATATAAAGAATTAGATTGTCCTAAGCCTAGAATCTTATAAGAGATATTATTATTGTTATTTCTTTGATAAATGCCCATTTGCTTTATAAAATTTAGTTAAATTTATCAAGTATTTATTAATAAAAAGAAATAAAAGAAACTTTTTATATAACATTTAATATATATTTTATTGCATCTTATATATTCAGTCCATTAATTTAAATATGACTATGATCCGATGTCTTCAATGCATATCTGGTGTCAGAGTTTTTTACTTCATTTATTTTGGTTTCTAAATAAAAGTGCTTCTTATCATCTGTTAACTGATACCATTCGTGCCAAGGAATCTTTAAATAAAATATATAATAATTAAATATTAAATTAGCATTTTTATGAAATGAAACAAATATTTAAGCAACTTACTACTATAGGTAAATAACCTAGTGTTTCAAGTTGTCTGATCTTTGTTAATAAAAGTCCAGCATATTGATAGCTCCCAAAGAGAAGTTGATTTTTGGTTCCAATTATCATTGCTATCCATTTAAATTCACTTGTTTTATCTATAGTTTGAACAGCGCCTGCCTCATAAAAGTTTTGCCACACAACAGATTGTGGGGCGCCATCATTATCCAAACAAATCATAATATCTAAAAATTAAATAATGCATTTATTTTAAATCGCATTAATTTATCTATATTGGTTGAAAATCTACCAGATTTCTCAAAATGGGGTAAGATATGTACATGAGCAGCATATTTTTCATTTCCATATAATGATTGCACATTTCTTAACACTTCAACAAACAACAAATCAGGTTTATGTATTTTGCCATTAAGATCAATGTTTCTTGTAAATTTCTTTGCCAATCTTTGTCTTTTTACTCCATTTAATCTATTTCCATTATAAGAAGGTATTTCCACATCAATACTGCAATCGAGGAATAAAATTTCTCTTCCTATATTATAATAACCTTCACCTAAAATTTAAGGTCATAATTCAACAATACAATTAAAAGTATTACATAAATTTAAAAATTGTATTATATAACTTTTCCACTAGAAGATAACTATTAGTTACATAACTTAGAAGAATACAAAATATGCTTAGTAATTTATCTTCAACAAAACTTACAAAATTAAGGAAATATTTTAAAAGATGTCTCCTAAAATGAATCAAAACCAAATATTTTGTTTTGTAATTTTTTACAATAGTTATCAGTAAGTGCAGGAAAATATAATTCATATATTATAATGATAAATTACCATAAGTATTAGTTAAAAATGAAGGGCTCAAAACTTCATTCAACAAATCAGAGTCATATAAATTCCTGAGACTTAAATAATACAGAAGACAAGCAAAAGACCTGGGATATTTATTTATTTCTTCATCTCGTTCAGGCTTTTTTATTTCCTTCAACATTTTTAAGTATATACTATTGCCTCCATCATCGTAATCAAACAAAGTAAATGCGAAGGCTAGTCTCTCCATATCTTTGAGTCTAATTGTACTAATATTTTCAATACACTTTTTAGCTATCTCATTCATTAATTTAGGATTGTGCATTTGTATATTAGTTCCCAAAAGGGCAATATGCACACAACACAGTAATGATAAGCGAGGGATTTGCTTAACCATGTTATGTAGAAGAAATGATAAGGGTTGTTGTAATGAAATTGGCATTGAATATCGTATAACCTATAAAACAATATTGAGAATTATTCTTTTGTGATAATAACAACTTTTATTTATATTTCATACCTTTGATATTGCACATAGAGCGATTTCATGTATATTATCAGCAGATTCAATAGTTCTATAAATAATATGTTCAAGCAGATGAGGATTATGTATTGGAGTCTTGGTTTTGAAAAAACTCATAGCAGCTATTGCAATTTCATGAGTTGATAATTCACAAAGGCAATTGTGCAAACTTTTTTCAAAGTCCATCATAGTGCACAATGGACGGCGTGATGAATTTATATAAAACATTATCTGAGTCAGCTGTTGAGGTGTCAACGTTTTGACTTTTCGACCTACTTTTGTAAGAATTGCTTCAATAAATTTACTATGTCTAACTAACTTTAAATTATACCAAAGATCGCAATAAAATAGTATTTTGTCGATATCCCAAAAATGTGATCTGGATTTACAGGCTTCATCCAGAGCGATCCATAAACTGCAAAAGTTTGAATCCTTTATGCCATCAGCTTCTTCAAAAAATGACAGATATAACAACAGTTCTTCAATTTGTGTATCGGAACATTCACCCATTTTACTTATAATTGCTTTAGTCATTTCATTAAACTCTGAACTTGATATTTTCTTATGATTATGTTTGGCAAACATTGCAATTTTTTTAAATGCTATTATAATTTCATCGCTAGGCTTTAAGTCCCAATCTTCCTCTATTAATTGTTGATAATTGTTTTCAGTGAGGCTATTATTTTCTAATACGGCATTTTGATTTTGAAAAATCGTTTTACTATACAGGTGATTTGTTTCCATCACTGAATGCGCAAAAGCATTCTCATTGTCACAATACAATTTCAAAAATCTAATGCTTGATAGATAAAAGTTTCTGGCAAGGCCTGCATGAATTTGGAAATTTAGCAACGATTGTGATTTACTGATCGAAAATGAAGTCGCATGACTAAATAACGAAATATTTCGAATATTTGCAATATATCTAAGTGGATGTGACATTATAATATGTATAAAAAAATCTTGTCAACATCTAAAAAATATAAAACCAAATTACAAAAAATTAAAATGCATTTGACATTTTAGGTTAAGTTACATGCGCATATCCACTTTCAATTTGAATTTTTGAATTTGACAGATTACAGATCAGTACCACAGCTCAGAACCAAAAAGAACAACCATAGATAAATAAGCATGAGAACAACCCCTTTCTTAAATAATATATTTTTTTTAAATAATAAAACAATATATTTCTTTTATCCAAGAACAAAAAGCAGTAAAATATTGTCTTGGTGAAATTTTACACCTAGTTTTTGAATTTGAATCATATCGATATATTAAATATCGATATATTACGACTATATTATCAATGGCTATCGAATGGCCATAACCTGAGTGTCAAAAGTACACTTTTTATTTGTGTTATTTATAAAACGTGATTTTGTACTTGTGTCGACAATTATACATATTGCTTTAAAAGGCCAAGGAATTTATTGATGTAATTGCCTTCTTCCTGTTTTGACATATCATTTACCAATCAGCTGTTAACCTATATTTTAAGACTCCAGCAGATGACAATAAATTTTCACGAATTCAAAAAATAATGGGAGGAAAATGACATACTCTATGATAAAGTATTAATGTACGAAAAGAAAAGTTCGTGAATTATCCATAGATAATTAACAATGTTAGATGGCAATATACACCAAACTAAAAGACAGCAAGATATCTTCAAAAAATGTTTATATTTAATAAATATTTAAAATGAATAGTACCTTCTGAAATAATGTGGAATGTATTTGGTCTTACATCATTTGACCCATTGAGCCAGTTTTCAGAAATGTGGTATCAAATATTTCTGTGGTCGTTAATTTCATCTATAGTTGTTCATGTATTTGCTGCTCTATTTGCATTTATTACACTAAGGAAGCATCAGTTTGGCAAGTTTTTTTCAATATTTATTCTTTTGATGGGAATAATATCTCCAATCACTTCTGGCGTGGTGAGCAGTGCAGTGATTGCTTTTGTCCACCGTACATCTTGTCTACAAATGTCACCTATATATGCCATGTTTTGGGGCGTAGGGCAAACTGTTGTTTCAATTTGTGTTGGATTTACTAGGATATTAGCAACTTTATAATTATGTTATGTGATATTATGCATTTTGCATTTAACAAATTGTATTTCAAATTTAATCAATTTAAATAAGACATAATTTTGTATATATAATGTTATTTTAGCAATCAAAAAGTTTTGTGTATATAAGTTTAAAATTAAAAACTAGTTTAATTATACTCGTTTATTATGCTTTTATTTTCAGAAATACTATATAAGGAAAAATGATATAGTAGTTGGTCTTATTCTCAAGCATAAATAATTCCTGCATTAATAAATGACAAAACTTCTCTGCATTCTCATGTACATAAAAAAAAACATTTACATTACAAGATCTACATCAAAGTGATTTATCTTTCTTTTTGTTAAGTGCATAAGAAATGTTCCTTAAAGAGTATGTTGGGATCTGATTGGATGTAAATAATAGATCTAATTTGCACAAATTATTTTGAGTTAGTTACTAAAGAATATTCAGTATATTATTAGTGCAAAATAAAGAAACTAGACAAACATCAACATTAAAATCAGGAATATAAATAATTGAATTAACCTGTAACCAGTAGATTCTTTACATGACTTATTTTGAAACTGTTGTAAAACTTATTTATGGTCACTATGTACATAAACTTATAATCTTATCTTATTAACATTGTAATTAATAAACAAAAAGTTACGTTAACAGCAAGAAATTACTTTCCCTCTGTGATTAAATTTGTAAAATGAGGATAAATTCCTATTAGTTTCCCATAATTTAGCGCTTAAATCCACACATGCCCGTATTTCTTTGAAGTCTCCTCCTGTCTGTAGGATACTGAACATGATCAGACATAAACTAGCCACACCTTGAAATGTTATCTAAAATTTAGATAAATTATTAAGTATTAGAAAACCTGATGAATGCTTCAATATTAACTAAAACAATTAGTTAATATTTAAACAGTAAAGCAAGTTGCAAATCTTAAATATAAATGTATAGTGTATTGTTTAATTATTGTAGTGGTCCGTTGTAGAGACCCAATAGAAAATACAAATTTGAAACTCTTACTCACAAAGTGCATAAATACATTTATTTGTTTCGAGACTTTAACATGTTTAATGTTACTGTTAGTAATGAGTACATCATGCTTAACTTTTTGAAATACATTAACATATTGTTCACAATATGTCATTTTTATTTATACTCACATCGAACGGCAAGCCGGTAAATTCTACATCCATATTTCTTAAAAACGTTCGATCTAAAAGACAATATATATGAAATAGCACAATGAATTAATAACAAATTTTATTTGTTAAACTCACGCTGAGCTGCTGAGATAGCTGTATGAAATAGCATTACAAAGCCTATGAATAATAGGATTTTATAAAGTAATTTTGACATTTTACTGACAATTTAAAATAACGCTAAATAAATTAATTTTTTATTTTGACAGCGCTAAGCATGAATCGGCCAAATTAAGTAAGGTTATGATTGATTATGATGACAATCTAGCTGCTGTCACAGCAGAGACGACAGTAGCGCCAGACGACGGGTTCTAAAACCTATTTGTCGCACACGGGAAATGTACAAATAAAAAAATCTACTTTTCACTTTTTAAACCCGATAATGCTATATAGTATAATTTTCATATTTTAATGAAAATTTTAAAATATCCGATGAATAATAGGTTTGCTTTATAAATTACAGTGAAATATAAAATTATATACTATAATATACTATAATTATACTGTAATATACTATATATACTATAATTTTTATATTTTAATTAAAATTTTGAAATATCTAATAAATAATAGATTTGCTATAAAAATTACAATAAAATATAAAATCTTGTTAACTCTACCGTATTTATTATAAACACAATGTTCTATTGATCACTTTATTTACCCAAATTACACTACGTTCTCTATTATACGTATTATATATTCTTATTTTATATATTACCCATCGCCTACTAGATTCACGCTGTCATCTATTCATAGTTAACAATTTATACTATAATATACTCTATATACTATAATTTTCATATTTTAATTAAAATTTTAAGATATCTAATGAATAATAGGTTTGCTATAAAAATAACAGTAAATTATGAAATTATATACTATAATTATACTATATATACTATACTTTCATATTTTAATTGAACTTCAAAATAATAGTAAAATATAGAATTATATACTATAATTATATTATAATATACTCTATATACTATAATTTTCATATTTTAATTAAAATTTTAAAATATCTAATGAATAATAGGTTTGCTATAAAAATAACAATAAAATATAAAATTATATACAATAATAAACTATAGTTATACTATAATATACTTTAATTTTTATATTTTAATTAAAATTTTAAAATATCTAATGAATAATAAATAAGATAAATATAAATACTTATGTTTTATAAATTAGCAATAAAAAAATAATTTGTAAAAAGAAGTGATTTTTGATGACAATTTAAGTCTCAGAATCAGAATATACTATATATACTATAATACATAATCTCTTCTTGTATCTATGCATATACTTACGTAATACAAACTCAATACAAACCATATTATGAAGATGATATTTACAAAAGTACAAAAATAAGTTATTTATGAAGAATATTTGCACTCACTACAATATAATCCACAATTTAAAGATGATTTGAGTTTATTATGATTTTATTTGAAAACTTTAATAATTAATACAATCGGTATGTTAATAATTATATTTAAATTAATACTGCTTATATATTTGAAAGATCCCAATTGAGGATCTTGGATGTTTCAGAGGATCAATTTTGATGTCATTGTACCTGACGATGACCCATATCTATAATTAAAAGAGACTTCAATTAATTAAAGGAATTACTATTTAAAATAGTAATTTCAGTTGAGAACAGCAATCGTCCAATTTATGATATCGTGTTGCTGTTCATCATCAAAAATAATAAAAATAGCAAACGTACAATTTATAATATTGTAGCCAAAAATATAATGAAAACAGCAAACGTCCAATTTATAATATCATTGCCTTAAAAATAATAAAAATTAGCAAACGTCCAATTTATAATATCGTTGCCATAAAAATAATAAAAACAGCAAACGTCCAAAATTTATAATATCGTTGCCAAAAATAATAAAAAATAGCAAACGTCCAATTTATGATATCGTTGCCAAAAATATAATAAAAGCAGCAATCGTACAATATATAATATCGTTGCCAAAAATATAATATAAATAGCAAACGTCCAAACTATAATATCGTTGCCAAAAATATAATATAAATAGCAAACGTCCAATTTATAATATCGTTGCCAAAAATATAATAAGAGCAGCAACGTCCAATTTGTAATATCGTTGCCAAAAATAAAAAATGGCAAACGTCCAATTTATAATATCGTTGCCAAGAATATAATAAAAACAGCAAACGTCCAATTTATAATATCGTTGCCAAAAAAAATATATTTGTACCTGATAATGTCCATCACTGATGAAGATTCTAAATTGAGGACCTCGGATGTTCCAGCAGATCTATTTGGATATCATTGTTCCTGATGAATGCCCATATCTGTAATTAAAAGAGTCTTCGATTAATTAAAGGAATTACTATTTAAAATAGTAAAAAAATATTGTTTAGATTTTATTTTAGTTGAGAACAGCAAACGCCCAATTTCTAATATCATTGCTGTTCATCTTTAAAAATAATAAAAGCAGCAAACGTCCAATTTGTAATATCGTTGCCAAAAATATAATAAGAGCAGCAAACGTCCAATTAATAATATCGTTGCCAAAAATATAATACAAATAGCAAACGTCCAAACTATAATATCGTTGCCAAAAATAATGGAAATAGCAAACGTCCAATTTATAATATCGTTGCATTAAAAATAATAAAAAATAGCAAACGTCCAAGTTATGATATCGTTGCCAAAAATATAATAAAAGCAGCAAACGTCCAATATATAATACCGTTGCCAAAAATATAATATAAATAGCAAACGTCCAAATTATGATATCGTTGCCAAAAATATAATAAAAGCAGCAAACGTCCAATTTATAATATCGTTGCCATAAAAATAATAAGAGCAGCAAACGTCCAATTTGTAATATAAATGCCAAAAATAATAAAAAATGGCAAACGTCCAATTTATGATATCGTTGTCAAGAATATAATAAAAACAGCAAACGTCCAATTTATAATATCGTTGCCAAAAAAATTATATTTGTACCTGATAATGTACATCACTGATAAAGATTCTAAATTGAGGACCTCGGATGTTCAAGAAGATCTATTTGGATATCATTGTTCCTGATGAATGCCCATATCTGTAATTAAAAGAGTCTTCGATTAATTAAAGGTATTACTATTTAAAATAGTAAAAAAATATTGTTTTGATTTTATTTTAGTTGAGAACAGCAAACGCCCAATTTATAATATCATTGCGGTTCATCCTTAAAAATAATAAAAGCAGCAAACGTCCAATTTGTAATGTCGTTGCCAAAAATATAATAAGAGCAGCAAACGTCCAATTCATAATATCGTTGCCAAAAATATAATATAAATAGCAAACGTCCAATTTATAATATCGTTGCATTAAAAATAATAAAAAATAGCAAACGTCCAATTTATGATATCGTTGCCAAAAATATAATAAAAGCAACAAACGTCCAATATATAATATCGTTGCCAAAAATATAATATAAATAGCAAACGTCCAATTTATAATATCGTTGCCAAAAATATAATAAGAGCAGCAAACGTCCAATATACAATATCGTTGCCAAAAATATAATAAAAGCAGCAAACGTTCAATTTATAATATCGTTGCCATAAAAATAATAAGAGCAGCAAACGTCCAATATACAATAAATAAATACAATGAATAAATAAATAAATAAATAAATAAATATCGTTGCCAAAAATATAAGAAAAGCAGCAAACGTCCAATTTATAATATCGTTGCCATAAAAATAATAAGAGCAGCAAACGTCCAATTTGTAATATAATTGCCAAAAATAATAAAAAATGGCAAACGTCCAATTTATAATATCGTTGCCAAAAAATTATATTTGTACCTGATAATTTCCCATCACTGATGAAGATCCTAAATTGAGGACCTCAAATGTTCCAGAAGATCTATTTGGTTATCATTGTTCCTGATGAATGCCCATATCTGTAATTAAAAGAGACCTCAATTAATTTATGTCATTACTATTTAAAATAGTAATAAAATTAATTATTGTTTAGATTCTATTTCAGTTGAGAACAGCAATCGACCAATTTATAATATCGTTGCCAAAAATATAATAAAACCAGCAAACGTCCAGTTTATAATATAGTTGCCTTTAAAATGATAATAGCAGCAAACTGTAGCAAACGTCTAATTTATAATATCGTTGCTAAAAATATAATAAAAACAGCAAACGTCCAATTTATAATATCGTTGCCAAAAATATAATAAAAACAGCAAACGTCCAATTTATAATATCGTTGCCAAAAATAATAAAAAATGGCAAACGTCCAATTTATAATATCGTTGCCAAAAATATAATAAAAACAGCAAACGTCCAATTTATAATATCGTTGCCTTAAAAATAGTAAAAATAGCAAACGTCCAATTAATAATATAGTTGCCAAAAACATAAAAAAATATAGCAAACGTCCAATTTATAATATCGTTGCTAAAAATATAATAAAAACAGCAAACGTCCAATTTATAATATCGTTGCCAAAAATATAATAAAAAATAGCAAACGTCCAATTTATAATATCGTTGCTACATTCACCGTGAAATTAAAATATCAATAGAAATAAGAACAGATCTTTTAACAATGTATATAATTTTTGTTCAAAAGAATTTATGATAATAAAAAAAATATGACAGAATTTTCTTCAAAAGGAAGGTTGATTAGTATTTTGCAAAAAATTACAAATAATTTCAAATTTTCAAACAAAATTTTATTCAGCTCGTGATATTGATGTATCATTACAGATACAATTGTATTGCTAAAATTGAAATGAAAACTTTCGTTAGTTGACAGTTGATAGCCGCCATTTTCTTTCGGTACAACACCAAAAAACTTGAGTTTGCTTTTTCGCAAAAAAAAACTATACAGAACCATTTTTTAATGTAAATAGATACACTAGATCGAAATGTATCGAATTTTAAGTAATAATACGTCGTGGAAACGACTGTTTTGTCTAAAACAGAACAAAACCGCCGGTTGTGGCTATGGCCGCCATCTTGGATTTTCCAAAACCACAAATTTTAAATCGCAAAAAAATGCTAAAATCTCGATAAATAATGACAAAAAGTGCAATAATATTAAATAAACCTATACATATTTATCGTAAATCAGCAAATAAGCACGCATACGACATTTTAAAACACAGACGGCGTCACTTGTGGTGTTAATAAAATGCAATAATTGTGCAAAATAATACAATATAGAAGAAC